TCTTAAGTATATATACAGTATACCAACAAAAGGGCCAAACTCAATAAATGGCAGCTGTTCTTATTGTTTTTCTAGGTTTTATAGCAGTGGTTTGTAGATTTAAGTGGGTGTACTGTATAAATAACTGATGCTTAGCCAGTCTGGCTGACCATCAAAGAGCAGGAGCGAGTGTACAGTTGGAATTGACAACAAGTAAAAGGAACTTTCTATGACTATGTACACCACAGACTTAACGTTTAGAGGTTAAAAAAAAAAAAAAAAAAGTGCGGCAAAAGGTCTGTTTCAATAGCCAAGGTGCCCTGAAGTTTTTTTCCCACATTTGTTTTGGTCCCATTTCCTTTCAAGAAGTTATGTGTTGGACCAGAACGATTTCTGTATGAATGGGAAGACTGCGAGCCAGCATCAGAGATCACACTCTGTAAGGCAGGAAGAGTCTGCAGATGAGGGTAAGTAAGGACGGAGCCATCAGTGCAGACAGAAGCCTGCAATCTCCTAGAGGAGATGGGACCTGCGACTTCTAAGCATTTGTGTAACTGGAATTTGAGAATGTGAATTTAGGAGACATTTGTCCCAAGAAACAATATGAAATGTGACTTTCATTTATACAGCGCTGACAACAACCCTCGGAAGCGGGAAGGGTGATTAGGCTCCATTTTCAGATGATGGGGGGAAAGAGCAGGACTGACTATCCTACCCATAGCGACTAAGTAGCAAACAAGTGTTAAAATCTAGATCTAGTTAGGGTTAAAGGACTTCATCCTGTGCTCCTTTAACTCTATAATGCTGTGTCTCCACAAAGCCTTATAAATAATGTTCCAGTTCCCAGGTGAGTACTTGTAACCCCTACAGCACCCAAATTGCTCTACACTAATAATGCAAGGCATTAAGTGTTAACTACCAGCCAAGTGGTCTAGACAAGTATGTGCTATGGGAGTCCGCCGGAGAGAAAGATCAATACAGGATACATAACATAGGCGTGGGAAGCTCACATGTATAAATGTTTTGTTTAAGGGACATTTAGAAAGAAGCACTATGCAGATGGCCAGAAAAACAGAACTTGAGATAGAGGGCTTGTATGAGAGAGGATGTAGATTTGGGGCAACAGCTGCTGAAATCGTTGCTAATCGATGAATTCCCTAAAGGGAGCAGATAACAATCAAAAGGCTAGGGAACCCCCTCATTCCAACACACACATTACTGAGCCCCACAGAAGAGAGAAGCCTTTCAATGAAATTACTGCAAGGAAAGTATGGTAAGGAGCTAAGCTTTGCAAGAAGAAAAAAAATGGGGGTAGAGAAGATGTCCAATGAGATAAGAAAGAACACCTCTATCAACAAAAGAACAGATCTATAACAGATTCTATCCCTCTATCACTGTTTAAAGCACTTCAGGCACCTTTTTTATTTGGATCACATTAAAAACAGAAAGGAATTGGGGAAAAAATCACCCAACATTATTTCAAATTACAATCTTTAATGAATAAAATATAACCACATGGTATTGGTTAGCATAAGCGGTTCACACTGAAAACTTATTTACATTTGAGAGTCTCTAGGTTTAAAGGCTCACAAGGCCTCTGGCTCCCAGCAAAAGAGAAAAAAAAAAAAAAGAAAAAATATGAAGTCAGCAGATTCTTTAAATTTCTGTTCTTTCCTGGTAGAAAATGGAGTTGATAAAGTACCCAATTTCTAAAGTAGCTGCAATATTTTCTATTATTTACTATTTTGCTTTTTAAAAAACCTATGCTTCTTATTCTAGATTTAAAGCCTCCCTAGGCATACATAAAATCATATGTATATAAAAATGAAACCACTGTAATAAAACTATAGCTCTACAGCTATAATCCTGGAAGGTATACAGAACAACATAAACATAGCAGTATTCTGAGGAGTCTGATCGCAAGCAATAACCTGATGATTCTTAAATCTATTCTGGGGAACAAAACAGAACAGGTCTTGCCCTACTATTGTCTTTCTGTGTGGACAAATAATTAATAACTGTCATTAATTGAGTGACTACTATATTCCAGGCACTCTCTCAGCATGTCCCCTGCCCCATCACTCTGTCTGACACACACATATACACACACACACACACCCTCATGAAGAAAGAATGATTATTCCACCTTACTGAAGAAAGAATGGAAGTACTGAAGCTTAGAGGTTTAAGTAACTTTCCCTAGGCAACAGATCCAATACGTAATGGAACTGAGGTTTGAACTCAGGTCTGTTTGACTCCAGTCCCCTGTCTCCAACAACACTAATGATGGTTATTAGCGAAGGATCAAGTGCAAACCCCGTAGGGGAAAACTTAAGAGCCCACGCCTAAGTGTATATTGTGGCTTCCCCAATTACCATCTATGTGACCTTGTGCAAGTCACTTAAAAAAGGCTATGGAGGGGCGTGCCTAGGGTGGCTCAGTCAGTTAAGTGTCTGACTCCTGATTTCAGCTCAGGTCATGATCTCTGGGTTTGTGATTTCAAGCCCGGAGCCCCATGTTGGGCTCTGTGCTGACAGTGCAGAGCCTCCTCAGCATTCTCTCTCTCTTCCTCTTTCTCTGCCCCTCCCCTGCATGTGTATGCTCTCTCTCTCTCTCTCTCAAAATAAATACATTAAAAAAAATTTTAAAAAGACTATGGAATAATGTTGAATTTTCATTCACTTAAATAGGTAGGCAAGCTATTCACTATTAGAATATACAGTTAATGGTACAGATATACACCCTGAAAGAAACTAGCTCCTTAATCTTTTAACTGGAGGTTACTAGGACAACTGGATGGCTCAGTCAGTTAAGAGACCAACCTTGGCTCAGGTCATGATTTCGCGGTCTGTGGGTTTGAGCCCCACGTCGGGCTCTGTGCTGACAGCTCAGAACCTGGAGCCTGCTTCAGATTCTGGGTCTCCCTCTCTCTGCCCCTCCCCCCCTCTTTAAAATAAATATTTAAAAAACCTAACGGATGGTTACTAAGATGTAACTCCTCTCTTGAACCAGTTTTATTTTCTGGGATAGTTGGTAGAATGCAGTTGGGAGAGTTGCAGTAAGAACTATCTTCCAGAAGTGAGGATACTATTTAGGTGGAAGGTACTTATGGAAACCTGGACCAGAACTGAAAACAAACTTTCCCTTGAAAAGTAGTGGGAGACAATGTTAGTGACTTGTTTCATTGTGGGATTCATAGATGCTTACAGGTCCACTAAAATCCTAATCACCATTTAGGACCTCTCTCTCTATGGTGAAACATCCTCCAAATCTAAAGCAAATCGTACACTAAAAAATCTTTTAGATATAATCTGTTCATAAATTAGTCACTGCCTTGCTCTGGTAGAATAGTTTAAAAATTCAAAGCTTTCTCATATTTCTGGAACAATGGTTCTCTGTAAGTTACATTTCTTTTCAAAGTTTTTCTATAAAAATAGGTATATGGGGTGGGGGGTGCCTAGGTGGCTCAGTTGGTTAAGCGTCCAACTTCACCTCAGGACATGATCTCATGGTCTGTGAGTTGGAGCCTCTCAATGGGCTCTGTGCTGTTGGCACAGAGCCTGCTTCAGATCCTCTCCCCTCTCTCTCTCTCTGCCCCTCCCCCCATGCTCGCTCTCTATCTCTCAAAAATAAACATTTACAAGCTTAAGAAATAGGTATATGGGTTCTTATTGTTTTCAAAATAATAAAATCTGGGGCAAGGGAAGGCTATATAAATTAAAAATTAAAGATTTTTACTTTATTTTGTACTACGTTGAGTTTACATCAAATTCTATAGCAAAATAAAGGAGAGTCAACTATTTGGAAAACCAGGACAAAGAGCTCTGTTCATTTATCATGGATTACTATTTTCCTAAATTACCTGGACGGGTGCCTCAATCCTCTATATTCTTGCGCTGTGGAAATGTAGAATTGGGGCTATTATTCTCCATTCTATAGCAAGTCTATAAGAAAGCAAGTGCTTATTTTCAGAATGCTTCAATTCCATGAACTGTCCACGAATTATAGTGAAAAGTACAAATTATAAAAGATATTAGATAATCTCTGAAATTACAGTTTCCCTAAAGAGATGTAATAAGTAACAATCATCTACTGTATGTCAGCAAACTATGGTCAAGGCAAAGGGCTGAGGCCAGGAAGGGAGGGGCTACTGTGCTGTGCAAACGGCAATCACATCCACCTCTTGCTACTTGGGAAGAGATGGAAAGGACTTCGGATATCAACAGAATTTGTAGAAAACTAGAGACCAAAAAAAAAGAAACTCAAACAATTAAAAAAAAAAAGTTTGAACCTAGAATGACCATCTCCTTTCCATAAGTAAAAATCAACTGTTGGAATGACAATTTTGAGAGTACAGAGTGAACTGTACACGGGACAAACAAAACCCTTCTGTAAGCTCAGACTGACAAAAGGTTATCCTACGACTTCACCAAATGTCTGGGGGACATAACCAATTTTCATCCAAAACCCGGGATCCATAGCACAAATGAGGTTTTCAAGGCTTTAAAACACAGAAGGGAAAAACCCAATGAAACAATTTCTTTTCTATTCTGTTGCTAAGATTACCATTAAACTATATCTAGAGGATGATAGAACAATTAATTATGTTCTATAAGTAAATGGAGATGCTGAAAAGCTTTTCATTCTCCATTCAATTATAAATGTAAAGGTTCAAACAAGAAAATAAAGAATTAGAAATGAATTTCTATTCAGTTGAATGGGTACGACGGCAAACTTTCCAACATTAGGGTAGTTAAAAGTTCTGGGATGGGCTACATACAGAGCTTATAAAAATTCCCCACCCTAAGTGTCCTTAAGAATGACTAGTTCTGGGTTATCTAATACACTTAACACATGGGGCAAACTGATGACAAACCTGTTGCAAATTGATACTCCCCAAGCGAAGAGAAGGCGAATGAGGAAATTCTGATGTTGTCAGGACAATATGACTGATCATGACATCAGCAATTCCTAATTCCAAATTATAAAGAACACTCCCAGAATGCTGACAACATATTAAATGGATCCTCCCAGAACCATCCTCCTTTCAGCTTCCCACCTAATACTTGATCTTAAGGCAAATATGATAATGTTTCAACTAAAGGATTATTAAGTGTTAAAATCCTGTTAGATTCTTATAAGCTGGAGGAAGCAGATAACTTCTGAAGACGTTGTGCAGACTCATAATGTATGTATATAGTACATAAAATATTTTATAAATTTATAAAGACACCTAACACTTAAAGAAAAAATGAATACACAAAAATGTTACAATTTACAAAATGCTTTATTGTACATAACCATATTAAAATCTCAGGGAAGGAGGCAGGGCAGACATTCTCTACTTCTTTTGGACAGGTAAGACAGCCTAGCTAGGTCAAACAACATGCCCAACTAAGCTCATGAAGCCCGGAAATGTAGACTCTCAAGGTTGAAAAGAATTAAGAGTCAGTCCCTGTGCCTGGCATATAACAGTCATTCAATAAATATTGCAATAATGGAAGAAATGCTACTGTCTCTCCTTGGACATCCTGACCGATAATAAATTCATTCCAGGTATCCATATTCAGCCGTATCTGTTACAAAGTCCTGTGTTACATGGCCTGCCATTCTGAACCTACCCCAGGACTAGTCTATGTCTTCTGTAAGATGGTATAGTGTTTTTTTCTCTGTATTCCACACTTCCATACCCATAAAAGTGAGGGCAGAGTCATCTTATTTTCAGCTTTAAAAATCTTATAAGATGGCTCAAAGAGTCTTGAAATTTCTGATGAGTTTCTTAACCCACTGTCCTGTATATAGTAGGTTTTGTTGGAGTCATGAATGGATGAGGCAAGCCAGCCCACTTATACACACACAGACACAAGTAGCACAAATGATGATTTTCGCTCATTTTTCAAAACCATGATTAGCTGAAGTTAGAAAGAGCTGAATGTGAGAAATGGAGTGATCAAATCTTTAAAAAAAATTTTTTTTAATGTTTACTTATTTGGAGGGGCCAGGGCAGAGAGGGAGACACAGACTCTGAAGCAGGTCCCAGGCTCTGAGCTGTCAGCACAGAGCCCGACACGGGACTCCAACTCAGGAACCATGAAATCATGACCTGAGCTGAAGTCAGACGGCCTGAGCTGACTTAGTCAGGCCTTAACCACCTGAGCTACCCAGGCGCCGCTGGAGTGATCAAATCTTAAAGAATAAGCTTTACACGGGCGCCTTGGGTGGCTCGGTCGGTTAAACATCCAATTCTTGATTACGGCTCAGGTCATGATCTTACAGTTCATGGGATTGAGCCCCATAACGGGCTCTAAGAGGCTGACTGTGCTATGCCTGCTTGGGATTCTCTCTTTCTCCTCGCTCCCTCTACCCATCACCCACTCTCTCTCTTTCTCTCTAAATAAGCATTTTTTAAAAACAATAAGCTTCACAGATTATGGATAAACATGATGAGTTTTCATCCTAATTTTTAGATCACTTGGGATTATAAAACGGGTTATAATAAATGATGCATTTTGCATTTGTGTGTGACTTATTAAGGAAATAGGAGTCCGTGACCGAATGGTTTCTCTTGACCTAAACTGTTACTGTCAGAATAAATCTTGCTTTACTTTTTGGGGAAAAGAGAAAGGTCCTACCCATCTCTCTGAGATCAGTGTCCTCTATATATTTGGATATAAACTGTATATCATTCAATCTAAGATGCAACTGGTTATAAGATGCTTGACAATTACTGAGATGTTAACATTTGAAAAAAAAATGGACAACAGTAACTATAAAACATCATAAATTATAAGATGGATCCTGACTTTAGTGATGTTAAAATGTGAAAACGGTGAGTTTTAGACTCTGTATAGATGGCCTACAGGTAAATGAACACAATGCTTGCAAATGCACACACTATTCATAGTCTAGGCTAGAGAAATCTATGTTTTCTAACACTTATTTTCAATCTTCTTAAGAACACAGAGCTACTAAGAGGTTGCAAGTCAATGACGAACAGACTCAGTTTTTCCAAGGCGGTCTGACAGTATGTCCTACAGGGAGTGGGCACAGTCTCCCAGTGTAAGAATGAGAAACTTTACCCTTATCTCACAAAGGCATCCATTACAAAGGAACAAACTGAACTGTCTGCTCCTCTCCTCAGTCATCTCCCCACAACCATTTCGAATTACACCCACAGTGTTTTATACCGTGCATTTAGGTAATAAGAAAAGGTAAAGGGAGATGAACCTCAATCCGTAGATATTTCTCAGATTTCTCCATTCCATACTTTTTGCTATTGGTGCTTTAAAGTTGTCAGTTGCAAACAGAACTTGAGACCATTCATCTTGGACTATTACTTCTTTATCAGGCTTTACTCACACAGGTGTATGCACACAGACATACACACACATTCCAAAGATCAGGCATCAGTGCTGTTTTGGCACAGCATCGATTTGAACCTACGCATCTTACGAACAGATTTCCATCTTTTTGCAGGACCTGGAGTGCCAGTTCTCAGTCCTCTTCGGGCTTCAGATTGGAATAATAATTTTTATGTAAATCATGTAAGTCAAATATACAAAGACATTTACTTAAAATGGTTATCACAATCCTTAAAATTGATACAAAGTTACAACATGAATTGAAAACAATAACAGCAGATAAGATGACCCAATTTTAGAAAAAAATCCAAACGGTTTACTTGGAGCAATGACGATTAGTAGATACTAGTCTCTGATACTTCATATTTGTTCAGAAAGTGACTAGTCCCCTTGTATTTCCTCCTTTTTTCCTTGTGTGCCGTTCCTTATAGTCATGTCATTATTAGTATGAAGAATAAGCCAATATGAAAAAGTGAAACAAACTGGTCAATCTATTATCTGTCTACAGATTAGACTAAAATATAGTCTGGACCATCCTACAGTCTCCAGAAGCTTGGGAACTACCTATGAATTTCACTTATCTGTAATGTTTCCCTTATAATAAGAGAAAACTATAATTGACTTCCCAATGAAAATCATCTTATAGGAATTATTAACACATGAAACTGCTAATATATCCCAAGACCCTAATTCAGGGCCCAGAACATATTAGACATTCAAATATTGAGTCAATGAATGTATGAATGAATGAATGAATAATGTCTTCAAATGCAGGAGAGTCCTGTTCAAGCAGATATTATTATTCCATAAAAGTCAAGCAACCTTATAAATTTGAGACATGTTAATTCAACGACAAATTACAAATTCTAATTTATTAGCCAAACTTCTAAAGTACTAGAGAATATCATTCCAAGAGCTGTAATTAATGATCTCGTGAGTAACCTGAAAACATATTCTATTTTAGGGACTCTTTTAAGAAGTCTTAGAATTAACTGAAGCTATGTACTGTGAAGTATATCAGGCTACAAAATACTGCAACTCACTGAAGAAACTGTTTCCCCCTGTTTCTACATCTCGGCCCCCTTTATTTAAAAAATCATAATTTAAGTTTTTGATGATTACCAAATTTTTAAAAGTAGGTATACAAACTCTTGTAATGGAATATCATGTAATTCTTTTCATTGTGTCATACAACATTTGTAATTGTTCTATCAGTATATGAGAATGGACAAATCGTTGACGACTGTTGAAGCTAATCTTTCTACTTTAATGTAGGTTTGAAAATTCCCATAAGCAGAGTATTTTTGGATAATACCAGTATATTAAAAAGCCTTGTGTGGTTGGTTTTCAGAGGATCCAGAAACCAAGGCAAATGGATTCCTGGTGCTCCAACACCCTAGAAAGGACTTTTAAATAACTATTTATCTGCCCATTTTACCTTTCCTCCATGAATTGCTCCTGAGAAAGAAAAACCATTCAAAAGTGGAGATCCAAGACTACAGGCTAGATGGTACAAAGGTAATAGTGAACCTGTTAGGAAATACTACAAATCCAAGTGATTAAACAGGTAGGATTCAGCCAGTTTGTGTACCTGAGAGCAAGAATACATGATTTCTAAATTAGCAGCATTTCTTCAGTTCTTACTGACTTTTCTTTTTCTATGTCTTTTATCTCAGTTTCCTCAAGCTAGAAAAGCTGAAATGTCTTCTGTTTCTCCTTCTGACTGGTCCTTATTAATTCCAAATTGTTACATAGATTACTTCCAAACATCTTCTTTATCACCTCTGTGGCCCTATCTTTCTACTTCCTAAAATCTCCAAATCTAATGCAAATTTCTGAATATCACTGGTAAAGCACTCTACTTCCAACTCCTTTCCCTCTCTACCTCTTTTCCAATGACTGTTTGTGTTTTGGCTGCCCACGAACTCACTCTGTTCTGGTTCTGAGTTTTGCCAGGAAATAGTCTGTTTTTCCATCAGCCAAACCACAGTCATCCCTCCCTGTTTACTCTGTTGAAATCACAGCTCATGGGCCACCCCCTCTGAGTTTTTCCTACTCTCATCTGTTTTCCAAGATCTCTCACTATATTTTCTAGGGACTGCAGTAATGCTTAGGTCAACTTAGTGTCTTTATACATTATAAACTCCTCGGCTGGTGAAACTATGGCCAAGATTTGCCATGCCCTCTCCACTATTTACTATCCTGAAAGGCATTTTTGGAGAGGTCAGCAAGTCCTTACTGACCTGGCTTCACCATAAGTCAGCTGTTCTCAGCATCTTTTCTAGTCCAGCACACCTGAAGAATGCTATATACGCTCATCAGTCACCGTGTCTTACTCTGCACAACTCAGAGTCAGAAATGATGAGGACACACACTCCCATCCTTGTCTGAACAGCTTGTTATAAAGAATGAAACCGAGAGTGGTTCCGGGAACCCAGAGAAGATAACCATTTAACTTCAGCACTCGTGTGCTCACGTACGTGCGTTCACTTACTCTCTCTCTTCCCTCCCCGCCCTCCCTCTCTGCCTCTTTTTCTCCCCCACTTTGTGTCTGTCTGTCTCTGTCTCTTTCTACATATACACAATATAAAACATATATCTATATACAAATATAATATATATAACAATTTATGTAGATATATAAATATCATATAATAGATAAACCTATAACATATTATACATATATAAAGCTTTGCTATAAAACAAGAAAGTATATTTACTTCCTACAAAGTATATGAAAATTACAGCCTCTCGACCTAAGAAGGCTTAGAAATGACTGTTTTCTCAAGTGAGCTTACATTTCTTAACACCCCAAATGGTACCAAAATATATTTTAGAACGTTTAATGCAGCTGAGAAGGACTTTCCCCCGATGACACAATTTTCCTTGAAACTCCAGTGGTTGATTCCTCTGTCTTCCCCACACCAAGAGGCAGCTGCCTCTTCCTTGCTCCTCTTCAATACAAAACAGCACAGCCCTCGAAATATACTCCATCTCCGTCAATCACCTATAGGTTGCCATTGCCACTTACAATATGGAGTAGTGGACAGATGTACACTTACAGTAAAAATGACCATGTTGAAAAGATCATTCTACCATTTGTTAGTTTAGCAAACTTCATCTCAATCTAACTGTCAAAGGGAAAAGACAACAGTATCTCCTTTACAGTTTGGGGGAGAAGCAAATAAGGCACATTAGTTTGTTAAATTACAAAGATTAGTTATCATTTACTTACCTTCAGATAATTTAGCACATAGCTAAGAGCTTTTCGTAGGTGATGCCATGTCCTCTAAAACCCCAACCTTACAGAGCCTTGAACTCCACTCCAGCAACACCTGCCTATCTGCTTTACCTCAAGGACTAACGTCATTGCATGACATCAAGGACTGAAATTACCACTCTTCCATCTACTCTGCACTCTTAATAATAAAACAATAATAATAGTATTAGATAACATTGTTTGAGTAAACAATGTGCCAAACGTTGTTATTAGTGTTTTACAGGCATTGATTGTTTCATTACTCTTCATACCACCCATATTCTTTCCATCCCGGATATAGAAACTACAGTTTATCTTCATTCGTTTATGCTCCCATTCCTCATTCCTCTGCTCTCTCATGTCACTGATGTCACCAGCAGCACCCCCTCCCCACACTTCACATACTTCCAACCAATCTAGATCCCCAAATCAGGCATCCCAAGTTTGTTTGTTCTGGTACCCGGTATCCACAGCCCTTTCAATCTTGCAGATGAACACTTTAACCATCAGATTTTTCTATTCCTTCTCCTGAGTTGCTAACAACTACAAACTAGTACTACACCTATATGCTTCACCAGTAATTCACTAGCATTCATTTTACTCACTTCCAAGTAGCTCCCTACCCCTTCTCACAGAGAATTAATCCCATTTTATTTCTTTCCCTCAAATCTCAATCTCACCCTTCACTGTCAAATGATAAGGTGGAGATCGTTGAACATCATTTGCGTGAACTTCCCTCGTTCCTTCTTATTTGTGTGTGTGCGTGTGTGTCCTTGATTTCAAATGAATTTCCCTATTACCTGCTCTCCCCATCACCCTCACCTGTCTCCCCAACTCAATTTCTGTACTGGCTTCCTCTTTCTTTCTTTCATTTTTGGGGGTGGGAGGGCTACTTAATATTTATTTCACTATAAAAGTAGTGCATTAATACATTTTTCTTTTAGAAAGAAGAACAGCACATGCAATGGCTTTTTTTCCCCTGTAAAGTAACTTGTTTGTGCCTATGTTATATGGCCTCCCATTCTGAACCTATCCCAGGACTAGGCTATGTCTTCTGTAAGATGGTATACTGTTACAAATATAGTATATAGTGTTACAAGTATAGTATGGTATAGCATTGTTACAAATGCTTCCTTGCTTCTTAGGCTGTTTTATTCCTTCTCTCCTTCATTGCCAGAGTTCTCTGCAGACTGTTCATCAGTGGACGTTTGTTCGTCTTCACTTGCCATTCTAGTTACAAACTACTGTAATCCGGCTCATGCCCCCACCACTCACCCACTATCACCTCTTCATCCTCTCATCCAACATGATTTAGTTCTGTCACTCATCTACATGGAATTCCCAGATGTCACCTCTTTTGGTTATCCTCCTTGGCCCTCTCTGTTTCCCTGCTCTAGATTTTTCCCCAAATACAAGTTTACTCACAACTAGCACTCCAACTAGCACTTGGACAAAGGAGTCCACATCTAGAAATCCAATCTCAGCTTTTCTTTAGGGTTCCAGACCCACGGTTCAGACTTCCTGGAGCCTCTATTTCCCCTGGTCGGCATTCACTGCTATCATGTGATGTCACCACTGAAATCAATATGCTCCTCCTATGGCCACCTGTGCTGTACTTTGGTTATATCTGTGTGTCGCTGGAAAGTAAGTTGTCAAGAGGTAGGGGTCTATCTTAATGCCTTACACACAGTTTCAACTCTGTAAACAAAAATTATTTTAAATGTATTGACTTAACGAATCTAAAAAAAGTGCCATTTTCATAAAATAAAAGAGACTATTTTCTTCATACTCATGTACACTTTTTATCACCTATTTTGTTTTTGCTTTGTTTTCACACAGAAAACTTGCAGAATCTGAGAACCACTTTTTCCCTAATGAGGGAAAATACTCGAATGCATTTGAGAATGCTGATCATTCCCAAAATGCAGTGGGAATGGAAGCCCCACTGACTGACAACTTTGGATATCCATGCTCTTGGAAGGGATAGCTGAGCAACTGAATTTTAAAATGCTTTTCAGAGTCTTCAACCCAATTTTTAGTTGAAAAATTTTAAATAAAAAGAAAAATTACACATTTGGGTCTAATTATATTTGCTGTTGACTTGTAAACTATTATTCAAATGGCAGAAACTAGCAAAGACTTTATTTTACAGAATGAACTTCAAAACTGTTCTTTCATATTTAAAAAGAAAAAAGATCAAGCAAAGGAGTAAAGAATTGAGAACTTCCTTCCCAGTGTTTACTTTGGTACCCTGAGCAACCAAAATCTAAAAGATGAGTAGCTACAGGAAGGTATGGGATTTTAAAAACAGTTATAAAAGGGATGGTTGTGTTAAGGCAATCAGGAATTGGGAATCTATTTACAAACAAATCATTAAGATCTGAAGCCCCCAATTATCTCCATTCCTAACAGTTTAGATGTATAGCTAACTAAATGACGCAGCACAGAAGTGAGAGAATTTAAAGTATCTTTTTAAAAATATTTTTTAATAAAATAACTATAGGTACACATGATAGCACAGTTGAGGGATCAACCAAGCAAAACTATTTGATATATCCTCTCAATATAATTTTTTTTATAAAACAAGAGAATGATAAATATACAATTCTAGATAATGGTAACCTTCAAGGAAGAGGCAGAAAGTTGATCATACAAAGATATTGGTAATATTCTAGTTCTCGCGTGGTAGCTTCATATGTGTTCATTTTATTAGATGCTTTGTACATAGCAAGTATTTCATGATATAAATAAAACAAAATTCATATATTTTTAAGTGTGATGGAATAGGAAGCCAGACATATTCAACAACAACAACAAAAAATATTTTTTAGATTTTATTTTTTTTAATAGTTTATTGTCAAGTTGGTTTCCATATAACACCCAGTGCTCATCCCCACAAGTGCCCTCGCCTTTTATAAATAAATAAACATTTAAAAAATGGGGGGGGGGGTGTTTGCCTGGATGGTTCAGTTGGTTGAACGTCCAACTTTGGCCCAGGTCATGATCTCATGGTTCATGGGTTTGAGCCCTGCTTCAGGCTCTGTGCTGACAGCTTTGGATTCTGTGTCTCCCTCTCCCTCACCCTGACCCTCCCCCACTTGAGCTCCTCTATCCTTCTCTCTCTCTCTCTCTCTCAAAAATAAATAAATAAATATTTTCAAAATAAATAAAGCATTTTTTAATGAGATAGTCTGGACTCTCAAGTTTAAATATATAAAATACTTCAAGTAATTTTTTACTATTATTACAGTGAACATTTTTTAAGCCAAAGGTCTCTTAAAATTTTCAAAATATCTTAGGGCACCTGAGTGGCTCAGTCAGTTAAGCATCTGACTTGGGCTCAAGTCATGATCTCGCAGTTTGGTTCATGAGTTAGAGTCCCACACTGAGCTCTGTGCTAGCAGCTTGGAGACTGGAGCTTGATTCCGATTCCGTGTCTCCATCTCACTGCCCCTCCCCTGCTCGCGTTTTATCTCTATCTCTTAAAAATAAATAAACATTAAAAAATGTTTTCTCTTCCAGCTTCCTTTTAGTTATTCTGTATATTATTAGCTCATTATGAAAGTTACTCTTTAAATCTAAATCTAATGATGTTCTTCATCTGTTCATTCATATTCAGGAAGCCTACCATAGCCCAATGGATGGGTGCTGGGCCTGGCGAGGGAGACCTTCAAATAGTTGGGGACTGTGACTAAGCTGAAGTTGGCAGGATGCAGAAACAATGAGACAGAATAATAGTGACTCACAGGGTGGGTTTTCAACAACACAGAGACTCACAGGAGTGGAGGAATGAGATGCCGGCGAGGAGCAAAGTAGCCGGACACAGAAACCAGCTGAACAAAGAGCAACTGGGTGACAGAAATGGTGGAGTTTCAAGAGGAAAACTTCAAACCTCCTGTTCTTGAATTTGTGCCTTGAACTGAGAGTGGTCATCCAGCTGGTCTCCAGGAGACCAGAGCCACGACGGTTCCTGCCCTTCCTAAGCCTAGGAAGGCAGATTTTCCGGGTTCGCGTGAGGTCTGGACTCCCAGCTGAGATTCTGATGCCCTTAAATATTCTCAGAACTATCACACCCCATTACTTATCACAAACAGTAGTGGGTCTCTATTACTTGCAATCAAAGCATCTTAGTAAACAAATACAAATAACATAGTTGTTTAAGAAATTGCTTCTTGGAAGTTCCCTCTTAGCAATATCAAGTCATTTCAAGAGGGAAATAATATGATGTATGATGTCAGGCAGTACCACCTGCTTATTAAATTACTAAATTACTTCCATTTTCTTTCAAATCATTTATTACTAACAAAACTGCCCCTTTACCTTTATGATCAGCAAGTATTATATTCATCTTTCTTATCATCCCAATTAAAGTGTTGCCTGGTGTCCAAAAAAACAAAAACAAAAACAAAAAACACAAACATGAAATCTGAGCTACCTCAAATTCTGTAAAAGAACTTTCCACTCCCCTCAAAACCCACTTACAAATTAGACTAACCTTCATCAAACTTAAAATATGTCTTCAGTTTTATATATTTCAATGTCTCAAGAGATAATGTTATTTGATACAAATTCTTCTAAAAAGTGTATGTATGATGTATTGTTTAAGTAAGTAAGTCTTGGAGATTCTATTTTGGTTTTAAATCTATGTTTGAAATCAAAGGAGGCATCTTTTTGCTATTAGAAGCCAACAGATTTTTGATAAGATGGTCTTAAGGGTTGTGTTATATTTTGGGAATAAGCACTTCCTTTCCAGATTTGTGCTGCCGCCTCACTCCCTGGTGACTTCTAAACAACCTAGGGTCACAGTGGCCTCTCTTTAATTAGTATCTCACTAGAGGGAGGGGTGCATGTCCAGAGGAAAAGAATGCACAAAAACATTATAAACAAACGTCTTCAAGGCAACTTAGTGATTTCGTCAGGGAATGAGAAAAACTTAGTTCCTTCTCTGCTACCAAAGTAAAGCAGGAAATGGTTTTGATTCCTACAAATTGAGAAGTCTGGAATTTTTATGTATCTTTATCTGTTAACTTCAGCTTAGTATGTCAGACTTTATCTCTACTTTGATGGCCTTGATTGAAACCTATGCATTCATTGTTTAGACAGCAAAAGAGTGATCTGTGACATAAACAACTGACTCAAGTAAAAACTTTTCCATTTAACGCATGATTCTATTAGGGTTTAGCAATATCCAAGTTATATTCATACAACATTTTCTGTTTTTAAATATAAAAAAGTACGAAAATTAAAAAAAAACAAAACAGTACATTACTTAGGAGAATAAAAGTCAATAACATCTACCCAAAAGATACTTTTAAACAAATATTAAATAGCTAAAGCTGTATGTCTCCTATTTGTATGTAATCAACTAATCTTATAAGCCAGGAACAAAGATCCTATTGAAATTAGGCTCCATGAAACAAATGAATGAATGAATCTGAATCAAAAATAAATTTGGGGGCGCCTGGGTGGCTTAGTCGGTTAAGCGTCCGACTTTCGATTAGGTCATGATCTCGCGGTTCGTGGGTTCGAGCCCCGCGTCGGGCTCTGTGCTGACTGCCAGCTCAGAGCCTGGAGCCTGTTTCAGTCTGTGACTCCCTCTCTCTCTGACCCTCCCCTGCTCACGCTGTCTCTCTCTCTCTCCTAGAAATAAATAAAACATTAAAAAAAAAATTTAAAAAAAAAATAAATAAATAAATAAATTTGGCCTGAAACTCAAGAAAAACACAATTTAAAATTTCTGGAAAGCCTAAATATGTAAGTATGGATGTATATGTATATATATCGACATCTATATCTATATATATGAGTGTGTGTAGACAGGTAAAGATTCCACATAATATAATTCTACAAGGAAATGATAGTTTCAAAATACCAAAGGGTAAAATTTTTGAAAATTAATATGGTTATGTGTTTGAAGAGGCAATGCTTTTAGATTATTAAATTTTCAGTTAAAAACATGGACTCTGATTAATGGTTGCTATTGGGTACCGTTTACAAGAAATCACCTCAGTAGGGTGCCTGTGTCCAGTTTCATAATCATATAGTACACTCGCCCTACAGGATTATGTTCCAGGCAAGTTCGCATGTTACATTGAATTTCATTCTCTTCAGGAAGTGACTTTTACTCAAGATTGAATACAGCTGTTAGCACAGACCACTGTTCCAAAAACACTTCTATGAGAACTGGAAGAAAACACCACTTTAAGAATTGCAAATTCACTTTCATTATTCCAAATCTGTGCAACTAAATGGGAGGACAATCTTTGGTCTCTGTTAGTTAAATTAGGTTTTCATAAATATTCAAAAGAAAACACGCAGGGTGGATGGAAGATGACTATGAAACTTTCCATGTACTTTGTAGCCTATGTATTTTAATAACCAGACCACCACTTTGTTTATAACAGATTTAGTGCTTCATTTTTTGTTTCAAAAGTCAATGTCATACTAACACTTAATTTTTTCTTAAGTTTCACTCTCTAATAGAAGTTGGTTTTCTCTCTTTATATTCACAGAAATGAAGTCTGGCAAATAAAGTAGGGCCTCAACAGAGGAAACGCTGCCAGCTAAAAACACCGGATGTAATCGAGACCACAAGAGACACATACTGGGTTATAAATGTCGAACTAAAAAGAGGTATTGGAAAGAAACAAAGTCTAACTTTTTATTGGATAGTTTAATTGTTTTTATGAAATCTTACTAGTTCGTAGTTTACTCACAAACTAAACAAAATCTCTGGGAATTATTATGATAATCCTGGGTTCCACTTACTGAAGTTTTAAAAGGAAAAGACAAATCCATGGATTCCTTTTTTCTTTTAAAATTTTATTTTTAAGAAATCTCTACACCCAACGTGGGTGAGAAACCCACAGCCCCAAAGTCATATATATGCTCTACCAGCTGAGCCAGCCAGGCACCCCCAATACTCTGGATTCTTATCTCCCATTCCTGGCCATTCGCCTATCTTTTCAGGAAGAAGAGAGGGATGAGGGTCTCAGCCTGCCAGACAAGACAATGCAGTAAAGTAACTTGGATCAGCCTCAGCAAATAGT